ACCCTGAGCTTGTACTGCTTTGCTTGCTCTGCTGATTACACCCCACTTCGGCTATGGGGGTGTGTCAGAATATTATGCTCTAGCCTGTAGTGGGGTGCTCTATAGCGAGTACAACCCTTCTAGGGTTTGCTATTTGTATCCTCATTCTTGCTAGTGCAACCCCTCTCCTATCTTCTAAACTTTCACACGTTGTCCACATTCTGCTCGTCCCAGTCTGCTTCGTCCGCTGCTGAGGCGAAGGCTCGGTCACCACGAAAGCCGCCTGTGGGATCTTGATTTTCGTGCAAGTTGGCAAGGTACGTCTGAAGCGTGAGTCGTTCGTAGAAGATTACGTCACATGCTGCTACTGTTTCCTTGGAGTGGACGTCGAAGATTTTCCACGCGTTGTAGTTCTTTTCGATGCCGAGGTGTAGTCCCCACTGTGCGCGTTGTGAAAATCTTCCCGCTCGTGCTTCTGGGGGTCGGTACTGTACCATGCACCCGAAAACTCGTAACATTTTTGTGCTGCCCTGTTTCCCCGTCCACACCAGATGCGGTGATGCGTTGTTCGGAAGTGAGGACGACGACATCAAGTTGTGCAGCATGACAGCGTGGTCCATTGCTGCAGGCCACTGGTGGTTGGGTAACCGCATGCCACGTAACAGTTTGCGCATGCTGTTCTGCAGAGTCCTGTTCATTCTTTCTGCCACGCCTTGCTGCTGATGGGCGTAGGGAAGAGAGAGGAGTTGCTTGATTCCTCTTTCTGCTAGGTACTGCTTGAATCATTGAGAGGTGTATTCTCCTCCTCCATCTGACAAGAAGCTTTTCAGTTGTGCGCCTGACTCTCTCTCTACTACTGGTAGCCAGGCAGCGAATGCTGCGAGTGCCATGTCGCGGCTGGGTAGGTTTAGGTGCCTGACGTATCGAGTGGCGGCGTCGATGAAGGTGATCGTATAGTTATATGTAACTTGTCCTGGTTCTCGATTGAAGAGGATATCGCTGTACACTTTCTCGAGTGGTGCGTACGCGGGTGCGCTCGGGTTGTGATGAGGAATGAACGGTCGGTGTGGTAAGTCGGCTTCGAGGCAGGTAAGGCAAGTTCCTCGTGCCCGTTGAAGTTCTCTGCCGTCGGGTAGTAGTAATGAGTCCTTGTCAAGGACTCCTGCTCTTATTGTGTTGTTTAACACAGTGTTGCTTGGATGTCCCATGCGTGCGTGCCAGATGTCTTCGGAGGCGCGGTGTCCGGGTGAGCGTCGATACGCGTCGGAGTTGGAGTAGAAGCTGGCGACGAAGTTTGCGCTTCTGTGGACTTCTCGTTGAGTTGGATTCAGCTGCTGTGCGGGTGTTGGTGGTGCTTCGTCAACGAGGACTGGTGTCGTTGTTCTTGCTGTTGCTGACGATGTTTCTGCTGCTGCCGATGATGTTTCTGCTACTGCCGATGTTGTCTCTGCTGCTGCCGATGTTGTTTCTGCTGCTGCTGAATGTTGTATTGTTACTAACGCACGTGTTCGTTCTACTTCAAGGATGGTATGCGAATACCATAAGCCTTCCGGACTGAAGTCTGGGTCAAGGTCCGGAGGATGTGTCTAGTCGGTGAAGTTCACGATGGCGTCGCTGTCGGCAGTGCCAAGATCGGGGACGAAGTCAAGAACGAAGACGTTGTTCTTGAGGATCGCCTTACCGATGTAGAGTCCTCCTCTCCCGTGGTACAGCTTGAATTCTTGAGTGGTACTGTCTGTTTCGAGATGAATACCCTTCGACATCAGCTGGCTGACGCTCAGTAAGTTGTAGCCGAGTCCTTCTGGTATTAGGACTTTTGACATTTGTAGTACAACATTCGTCTCCCGTAACTGAAGTTCCACTATGCCTTGTCGTCTTGTGCGCAGGTTCTGATTATTGGCGACAGTGATGACGACTTCTCGTTGGAGTTGGTGCTCGCGTTGAACGAAACGTCCTGAGGAGCACATGTGTTGTCCGCAGCAACTGTCCAAGGACCAAGTGTCCTTCCCGGACGGCTCGCTTTGGGCGATGGCGGCGTACGTCGGGTTTGGTTGAAGTGACTCGCGGCGAGGCGTGCTATTGTCGAGTTGTTCTTCTGGTGAGTAGTATGGTGGTGACTCGGTTGTGCAGGAGTCATTCAGTCTTGCCATGCAGCTGAAGATATTTCTTGTTTCTTTTGAAGGTTGTCCTGTTGAAGTTGTTGAGACTTGGACTGAAGTTGTCGGGTTTGCTTGCGTTGAAGTGACTTGGCTGCTTGAAGGACGAAGTTGGCGTTGTCGATTTGGGCAGTGCGTACGAGGATGCCCTGAATTTTTGCAGATGTGGCAAAACGGAGGTACCGGCTTCAGTTGTTGCTGCCGATTGTTGTTGTTGTTGTAGTGTCGCTGGGTGTGAAACGCGAACTCTGGTGCTGACGTCTTCTTTTTATGTCGTTCTTCTTGCAGGTCCATGTCTTGCTGCTCGGCATGGATTTCGGCGCAGAGTGCTGCTTCGGAGATTCTCCCGTGAGCTCGGAGGATGGCCTTTGTGGCGCGCCATTGAGGACCGAGGCCGCCGATGATGATTGTCACGAAGGCGTCTTCAGAGATCGACCCTCCGCATCGAAGAAGATTGTCGCGCAATTCGCGACATCGATTGATATACGCCAGTCCTTTCTCTCCTGGTTTCATTTCAACTGTTGTCAGTTGCGCCATTAGCCGACTTTGAATTACACTGTCTGTTGCTTGATACAAGCTCTTCAGGTGGTTGTACGCGAGCTCCGCGGAGTTACCGTAACCTCGGTAAGTCCTTATGTTCTGTTGTTGAGTCGGGGTGATGTTTCTCAGTAGGATCGTGTACGCCATCATTGACTGATAGGTGTACTGCTGCTTCTCGTACTATGTGCCGTTAGTTGGATATGGCAGGGTCCCGTCGAAGAATCCGAGTATCTGCGCGCCTTCCATCATCAGTTCGAACTCGAACGACCAGGTGAAGAAATCCTTTCCGTCGAAAGGTCTTGACGTCTGCATCTTCAGAACATGTGCGAACTGTGACTGAACTTGCATTGCATCCAGTTGTTTTTCTTGTCCAGGTGAGGGCTGTGGTTGTGGCATGAAGCTGATGGATCCGCGCTCGTACGGAGCAAAGGTAGGTTGTTGTTGCTGGTTTCCCCATGCATATGATGAGCCGTCAAGACTCATGGGTGTTGCTCCGTTGTTGTTGCTGTTGTCTGATTGCGCAGGTCCTCCTTGTTGATGCTGCTCGTAGAAGGAAAGGAGAAGAATTTCTCCATCATGCTTGGATCGAAGCCCACGCCTTGGTTTGCGGGAGTTTCAGTAGACCCAGCTGCTTGTCTCGTTGTTGTCCCTTCCTCTGTCTGCAGGCCAGAGGCAGGAGGTGGAATAGGGGTAGTACCGGGAGAGCCGTTGGAGGAGCTCCTTTCCTTTCCAGTAGACATGTCTTCTTGGTGTATTAAGTATTGAGGAAAAAAGAAAATTTAACTCTAACCTGCTCTCATACCATTTTGGGCTGAACGCCCTAGGATCTTTGGTAGAGTTAATGTCTGAGTAAAGTGATGTAGTAGCGGAAGCGTTTTAAGTAAAGTCCTTGAACCATCTTGCGCTAGTATGTGAGGGCAAAGTAAGTTGATTAAAGCAAAGAGATACAAGCTTTTATAAGAGTACAAGGAATACAAAGAGATACCGGTACAGTTAACAACCGTTTTGTTATTGCTGTTGCGGTTCGATACAGTGACGACTCGGGCAACTGCTCAATAGCGAGTCAGTTGTGTGTCCTTGCTGTCGCGCTGCATTTGTCAGGTCAAAGGTCGCTGACCTTTGACTTCCGCGTAACCTCCAGCGGTTACATCAACCTCCGAGGGTTGACTCGTTGGTATTTCGATATGCGCTGCTTCGCTTGTGTCTTGGTGTTTCGACACGGCAGAAGCGCTTACGACTGTTTGTTCCCAACAGACCGTACACCCACCGAAGACAATTGGGTTCCCCTAGACAGAATCGAAAACCACCCCGTCCTCGCCGAGTATCTGCGCAGTCGAAATTTCAGGGATGTATATGCACTTTCGTAAGGAGGACCTCCTTAAGGGGGGGCGGGGGGGGGGGGGGGGGGGGGGGGGGGGGGGTAGTGTAAGAAAAATTCCTTTTCCTTACTTCGCATCCCTGCTCAACGCGTACATCACTGTAGCACCACAGTCAGCACCGTTACCACTCGCAACCCTCGCATCGACAATCCGCCCGCCACCTTCGTACATCGCACCCCGACCTCACGGCTCGGCGGGTAACAGGCCTCTGGATAGGTTTGGAAGCACTCTTAGTCGAAAGGGCAGTTTGCCCTACCTGGTCTTTCAGTAAGGGTGGGACAGCCATGTCAGTCTTGCTTATCAGGGTTGGCTGCAGTGTTACTCGTGCTCGTCAGTGTGCTATGCGCCTCGATTAGAAATTGTGCATTGTCTAGACAAAGAACTACAGCTACACGACTACAACTAGAACAATTACTGCAGGACTATATGGTTCCATCTTAGCAGAATACCACACACAATTCAATACAAGAATTCCTGGCCGGGACGTCGCTTCTTGGCAGCATTGAACAGGGCTACCACATTCACCCAGTTCAGACCTTCACTGGGCAGGAGTGCTGCAGTCATCAGATCGCACAGTTTGGCGTCGCCCAGGCAGGTCCGTTTCCAGGTCTTGATACGGTTCTGGCGACTGAAGCCACGCTCGCACTCCACCGTGCTGAGGGGGAGCACCGCTACGGCCTGCCACAGCTGCACAAGGTTCGGGTAAGCGCCCATGTAGTCGGTTGACTGCAGCATAAGCGAGAGGGACTTGTGGAAGCTCATGTTGTTGTGGTTGGTATCCATGGTGTGGAGAAACAACGGCAGCTCCCTCACGCACGCCTTGAAGCACACACCTGACGGTATGGGAGAGCAGTGAGGGGGGCGGTCGGTGCGTATAAGAGGTGTTTAGCAGCAGACCAGGGTACACACACACACACACACACACAGCAGACAGCACATGTCAGGCTCAACTAGGTGGCGTACCAGGGAGGCGGCGGTGAAACATGTGGTCCAACATGCCCAACCACTCGCGGCACTTCTTCATCCGCTGCGCGTTGTCGTCGGGATAGCACGAAGGCCGGAAAAGCTTGGACCCGGCCAGGTCGTTCAGGTCTTCAAGGCGGAACTCGAGTCGCTCAACGCAGGCCTTTGCAAACTCCTGGCACACCACCTTGCAGGAGTAGTAGTCACCGCCAGTCGTATGCCCAGGGATCTTGCGCTCATGAAGCACGAACTTGTGCTCAGCAGCATCGCCATTCTGGTCCACGCCTTTGACGGTGACCTCGCGGTGGTCGGGGTTGCCATGCTTCTTCAAGAACGCGCAGAGCAAGGGCGATTGCTCGTTGCCGAATCGATCCTCGCAGTCCACGTAATGCACTTCGATCGTCCTGCAAGCGAGCGACACCTCCCCTGCGACCACCGTGATGTCTACCTGTGAGTGGGAATGGGATGTGGAGTTGCTGCCAGAGGTTGATTTACGATGGTTAACAACGGCAACCTTCCGCCACTAACAACAACGGGGAACTAGACCGGTAAACATGCTACCAAGATGGGAAACGACGGCAAATATGTACAAAATCAACACCCCACACGTCACCTGCTGCTTCTGGAACTTGGCGTTGAGGTCGTTGAGCACGGCAAGAATATCTGCAAGGAAGAAGAGCATGAAGTGGAATTTGAACGAGGTAACAACTTCATAGAGCGCGTGCTTGAAGTCGTTTAGCAACACGATCGTGGCCGGCAGAACCTTGGCGAACCGCTTGACTGCCTCCCCTCGAGAGAGCCAGCGCACGTCGTTGATCCCCTGCAGCTCCAAGTTGGTTTTGCAGATGTACTCCTGAAGATGCTCGAAGCGCCTGTGCCAGTTGCTCGACCTAGATAGCTGCTCCGCCACATTGCGCACCGCCTGGTCGATGATGTTGAACTCTGGCACCTTCTCCGCGGCATCCTTCGCGGCCAAAGCCTCCCTGCTCAATGCAAAACAGAGAAAAGGAGTGATTAGAATGAGTGAGCAGGGCATGAGCAGCACAACACACCTGCCTTAAAGCCAATACCACAGATCGACTTACCTGTGTGCGACGCAGTGGCACGACACGAGGTACGGATTCTTCGCCCGGAGTCGTGCCACAACACCGTTGTTGCTGCCCGTCATGACAGCAGCGCCGTCGGTGCTGATTCCGACGATCCTGGCAATGTCAATGCCCACCGCGTCTAGGTGGGTCAAAAGCACGTCGGTGAGAGTTGCCGCGTCACATTTGCCAACCGTCAGCAGCGTGAGAAACTCACAGACGCTCTCCTCGTCCTTCATGAAAGTCGCGTAGACTATCATGTGCTTGCCGCGCGCCTTGTCTGTACTCTCGTCGAGCTGTATGGAGAGGTACGGGCTCGCCCCGATGTGCTTCAGTTGCTCTTGCCGCATGTACTTCGCGACCGCATCTAGGAATTCCGCGAAACCGTACCTGCATAAGCCATTAAAACAGGTTAGCACGTTTCCAATCAAGGCAATGCAAACTGAACAAGTACAACGACAGCACCCCGAGACAACTTACTCCGAAAAGTAGTTGCCTTTGGAATCCAGAGGCAGGTTCGGGACTCCGAGGTCGGCCATGAACTTGATAGTGCCCACGTAGGAGGTGATTGGCGCCTCCGACTTGCAGATGTACACGGTGGTCTTGAGCGCGGTGATGATGTGAAGCGTGCTCCTATCCAATCCCTCGAACTCGCTCAGCAACGCCTGTCGAAGCTTCCGGCTCTCCTTCGCCTTCATCTCGGCGTGAGCGTCCTGGTGTGCGGTGGAGCGCTGGTGCGTCCGGATGCTGGCCTTTTGCATGTCACGCCCTCCACTGCCTCCCTTGCCGTATGCCGTTTTCGCGCCTTCCGCTCCATGCTCCAAGCACGTGCTGCATCTCAAAATAGGGAAGCCAACGTCGTCACGAGTTAGAATAAGCCACGGAAACGAGGATTCCCATGACGTTTTAAATCGCTTGTGCGCCATAGCGAAAGCGACTTCGGGGTAGCGGGCCATCTCTTCTACAGTCGGCAGGTCGTCCTCTTCCTCCTCGTCATCACTCCCCCGGTCCTCCACTCATATGGTTGGACGTGCGGCTCGCTTCGAAAAGAGGTTCGGTTGTCGCCACCACTGCTTAGCACTGCCACCGCTTGAATCCTTGCGCTTCTTGGTCGCGGAGTCGTCAACCGCAGCGTCAATCTCCGTTACAGGAGCCGTCGCCTCTGGAAGAGTAGGTTCGGTCGTTGTAGTGCAAAGTTCAGGTGAGCGCAGGTCACGGCCCGATTCATCCACACGGGTTTCATTCTCGGTAGAATCAACTACAGGCTGCGGAACGGGAAGCTTCAAGGCGGGGGTTCGTAGAAAGCTGAGGCTCGTTCGCGGGGGTGAATTCTGGACATGACCACTTGCTTCGTCGTCACCATCACTGGTCTCATCAACAGCCATGGCGAGGATCAGAAGGTGGATCGACGAGCTGGGCCTAGGCTGGCTGTAAGAGAGCGTGATGGCGTGGCGTGGTTGCAAACCCTAGGCTAGAGGAGATGGCAAGGAGGAAGGATGGAGAGAAACGAAACGAGGAGGACTGGGGTTGGGTGCGTGCGTGAGACTGGTCGGTAGGTGGGTGGAGGGGGGGGGGGTTGCTGGATGGATGGAAAGGGAAGAAGATGCTTCTACGCAGGACACACCTTCAGCACGAAGTAGGAGTGTGTGGCGCTGCGCGGCATTGTCAGCTGTGATAATGGCAGGTGAGTCAGGTACAGTTCACGGTACCGTGGCAGTGGCGACGCGAGCCGTCTAGGCGACGCGCATCTGCTGACTCAGGCAAAACGCCGCTAATCGCGGCCCAAATCTCGCGAGTAGCCCCCCCCCCCCCCCCCCCCCCCCCCCCCCTCCCGTCAAATCGCATCAGGGTGGTACGCGACACTAGTCTTGGTCATCAGGGCGAGTACACCCAGCATGTCTTAAATATAAGTGTTAACAAAATGCACACTTTTCCGTCTAAGTGTGCTTCATAAACCAACTTTTGAAAACAAGGGTGAAGACCTAAACCCACCCTTATAGTAAGGGCCATAAGGGTGTTTCACCCTGATATCGAGAGGCCTGGCGGGTAACCCGCGCTCCGGGCCTCCGCTTCGACACTTTTTCCCAACCTCAGTCCCAGGCCCGTCGCGCAACAACCACAGTCCATTACCGTTACCACTGTAGTTTCGGTATATATTCTTCGCTCATGCTTTCGCTCATTGTACTCTTGCTTCGATAGTGCAATTCTAGTTCGTTTACTCAATTGCACTCGTAACAGGTAACCTGGATTGAGTTTGGTCACCAGTTGGCCAAACATGGGCCGCTGGCTGGACTGGAGTGGAGTCACGGAAGCTGCATTCAGGTAGTGAGGGGTAGGGCGCCAGTGCGGCGTCGGATAGTGGCTAGATAATCGTCGCGTCAAAGCGACGGACAGCGCGACGAAACAGCGACACACAGAGCGACAGTAGATGATGAGAGCAAGAATAGCCGATTCGCGTTGGCGGAGAGCCGCGACAGCAGAGGCGCGAGGAGCAGCGGGAATGGCGGATTGGGGAAGCGCGGGCGCGCAGGCGGGGCTCCCGGCGGCTGCAGCGGCGGAAACAGCAGCGTCGCTGCGAGCAGCACAGGCCAGAGCGGCGGCGGCACCGGCGCGAAGAGGCGGTGGTGCCAGTTGCGCTCCGCCTGGATCATTTCCTCGTCGTCGCCACCGCAGCCGCCCCCGCCGCTACCGCCGCCATTCCCGCTGCACGCGCGCCTCTAACGGGTCTCCGCGAGAGCCCGCGGAAATCGGTTTAAGCGCTGACGGGGCCAGAAATGACGGGCGGCCGCGCGGAGGGGAAAGGGGAGGCGGAACCGGGAGGGGAGTCGCAAGGAGGGGAGGGGAATAGGTGGATACTAGCGCGCGTGGTTTGGGTTCGGCGGAAATGATGCGAGGGGAGGGATAACGGGGAGTAGGAAGGCGGAGGAGGGGAGAAGGCGCCGGCGGACGGGTGGAGACAGGTGGGGACGGGCGGGAAAAGTGGAAAAACGGGGGAAAGGTGTGAGAGGGCGTGCGTGAGAGAGGGTGCGTGGAGACGCGCTGTGGAGGGATGGGTGAAGGCAGCAACGTGGGAGAGAATTGGTGTGAGGCGGGGGAAGGAGAGGCAGACACCGAATAAGAAGCGATCGAGCCGCTTGAAACGCATGGTGGTGCTGGCGAGACAGGCGCGCGAGCGTGGGCGGCAGTGCGAGCGCGTGCGCAGGTGGCAGCGTGCGCAGTAGCGCGAGTGTGGGGGGAGGGGGAGATGGGGGAGGGGTGGATGGGGAGACGGGGACCTCAGGGTAAAGGACGCATGGGAGCAGGGAGCTATGCGGCGGCGCATCCCCTGCATCCCCCTCTCCCTCCCCATCCCCCCCGCAACGACGCACAGGACAGGGAGCGATGAGGCGGCGGGTGCTGGCAGGGCTGAAGGAGGTGGGGCAGGCGGTGCGCAGTGGGAGGGCCAAGTGTGTGGTGCTGGCGCCTAACGTGGAGGAGGTGAGTGGGGCAGGTGAGGGGAGGGAGGTGAGGGGAGCGAGGTAAGGGGAGGGGTAGGTGAGGGGAGGAGAGGGAGGTGAGGGGAGGGAGTTGAGGGGAGGAAGGTGAGGGGAGAGAGGTGAGGGGAGGGAGGTAAGGGAGGGGTAGGTGAGGGGAGGGGAGGGAGGGAGGTGAGGGGAGGGAGATGAAGGGAGGGGTAGGTGAGGGGAGGGGAGGGAGGTTAGGGAGGGATAGGCGAGGGGAGGGGTAGGCGAGGGGAGGGAGGTGAGGGGAGGGACGTGAGGGTGGGGTAATGATGGGTGGCGCTGGAGAGGCAAGTGTTTGGTGGTGGCAGCTACTGTGGAGGAGGTGTTTGCTGGTGGGGGGGGAGAGATGCTGGTGTGGGGGGGAGAGATGCTGGTGTGGGGGGGAGAGATGCTGGTGTGGGGGGGAGAGATGCTGGTGTGGGGGGGAGAGATGCTGGTGTGGGGGGGAGAGATGCTGGTGTGGGGGGGAGAGATGCTGGTGGATGGCGGATGGTGGGGTGGGGTAGGCGGTACGCAGTGGAAAGGCCAAATGTGCATTGCACCCAGTGCTTGCACCCAGTGCTGCCACCCAACGGGGAGGGGGAAAGGCGCCTGGGGAAGGTGAGAAAGATGAGGGGAAGGTATGGATGGGAGGCGAGAGGAGGGTTGTTAAGTGCGTGGTGCTGCTGCTGGCTATCTGCGTGGGAGAGATGCCGTGGGAAGGGGAGAGGGGGGCGGGTGTGGGTAGGAGGAAAGGAGGGTGGGAGGGTTCCACTTACCCCTCACAACCCCCCTTGGCGAGGAGAAGCGGCAATGGCGGACTGGGCAGGCACGCGCGCACAGGCGAGACTCCTGGCGGTGGCAGCGGCGGAAACAGCAGCGTCGCTGCGACGCCAAAGCGGCGGCGGCGGCGCGGTGAGGCGGTGGACGCTCGCTCCGGTCGCGCTCCGCCTGGATCATTTCCTCCACCGCCACCTCCGCCGGCTGCACCGCTTCGCCGCCATCCCCCCTGTGAGCGCCCCTCTACCGCTCCCTCCGCGAGAGTCCGCGGATATCAGTTTGCCCGGCACTAGGAGGAGGGGCGCAGATGGACGCAGCAGTGATGGGCGACCACAGGTAGGGGGAAGGGGGGGCGCAGTGGGGAGGGGAGGTGCGGAGTGGAGAAGGGGCAGGGGGGATGCTGGCGCGTTGGGTTTGGTGGAAACTGGGTGGGAGACGGGGGAGCATGAGGCGGAGCAGGATGGGGGAGGAGGGCAGAAGGGGCGGGCGGAGGGGTGGGGACGGGCGGGGGAGAGGGAAGGGACGAGATTTTTCTCCATGGGCTCCAGGAGGGGCCAGGCGAGCGGGGGAGGGGAGGAACCGCGGAAGGGGGGAGGGGGGGCTGTTGCGGGTGAACATGGCAACGTGGGAGAGCATTGGTGTGAGAGGGGGGGGGGCGAAGGAGAGGCAGACACCGAAGCAGAAGCGAGCGAGCCGCTTGAAACGACTGGTGGTGCTGGCGAGATAGGGAAGGGGGGGAGGAGGGACGGGAGGGGGAGGGAGGAGGAAGGAAGGGATGGGAAGACGGGGAACGGGTAAATGACGCATGGGAACAGGAGGGTGGGAGGGTTCCACTCGCCCCTCACAACCCCCCTTGGCCCTCACAACCCCCCTTGGCCCTCACAACCCCTCTCGCACCCCCGAGGATGACCTTGCCGTGGGCTGCTGTCGGCAGGCTCTGGGACACATGGCACATGCGGTGAGTGTTATGCCCACTAACCATGCCCAGCTACCCATGCCCATCCACCCATCTCACTTCACACATGCCCATTCACCCATGTCGCTTCATATGCCCATCCACCCATGTCCCTTTACAAATTTCCAACCCCCCATGTCCCTTCACACATGCCCATTCACCCATGTCTCTTCACATGCCCATTCACCCATGTCTCTTCACATGCCCATTCACCCATGTCCCTTTACAAATGCCCACCCCCCCATGTCCCTTGACACATGCCCATTCACCCATGTCTCTTCACACATTCCCATTCACCCATGTCGCTTCACACATGCCCATTCACGCATGTCGCTTCACACATGCCCATTCAGCCATCCCATGTCGCTTCACACATGACCATTCACCCATGTCACTTCACACATGCCCATTCACCCATGTCTCTTCACACATGCCCTTTCACCCATGTCCCTTCACACATGCCCATTCGCGCATGCCATTCGCGCATGCCCATTCGCACATGTCCCTTCACATATTCCCCTTCACTCGTGCCCATCACCATCTTCCGTCACCAACCACCACCGCACACCACCACCCACCACCACACACCACCACCCACCACCACCGTGCAGGTATCTGCCTTCACTCACATCATTGACACCCATCCGATCCTCAAGATGCACCCGTCCTCTTCCACACCTGTTACCAGGTAAGCTGTGGGGGCGGTGTGTGCCTTTCAGGGAATCACCAGGTAAGCTGTGGGGGCGGTGTGTGCCTTTCCACCAGGTGGTTTCCAGGAAATTACCAGGTGGCTTCCAGGAAATCACTAGGAGCTTATGAACAGGTGACTATCAGATGCCTATGTGTTGAGCTATTGGGTGAGTTGTAGGGGGGTATGTGGGTGGTTTGCTGCACCTGAACGCCCTACTAGCCCCTGTGCCTCATGTCTGCTGTTCCAATCTTTCTCTTCCTCTTCACTGCTTTTGTCTCAGCGTGACATCACCACTTCTCTCGACAGTTCTTTCAGTGACTTCTCCATTGAACAAGCACGAGGGGGAGAGGGGAGATGGTAGGGTAGTGGAGCAAGCACGAGGGGGAGAGGGGGAGAGGGTAGAGGCTAAAGCAAGAGTGGGGGAGATGGTGGAGAACCATGAGTTAAACCGAGACAGCTACAATCAGTTTGGGTTGACACAGCTGTCCCCTGAGTGGCTTATCCATTGCCGACGTCTTCAGCAATGCGCACTGGAGAGGGAGTGGAGCGAGTGGGAGGCAGAAATTGGTATAAATATACGAATACATTATCATATCCGTTGTAGTCTAGTCGGTTAGGATACTCGGCTCTCACCCGAGAGACCCGTGTCCAAGTCCCGGCAACGGAAATTTTTATGTTGTCTTCGGAAGTCACACTTCAGTATTTGGTCACAGAAGACACAGCCCAAAATGTTGACAGTGTGTTGTGCTAAAAGCTTCTGTGTACATTTGCAAAAGGGAGTTTCAAAAGTTTCGAAATCTGAAATATTGGTAACCACATTACCCCTCCAACACCTCGCTGACCAAGGGAGGGAGATTGCCCCGGCACCCAGCACTCCCTGCTGATTCAAAACTTTAGGGTCGACAAAAGTATACGAAATGCCCTCCACTCTCGGATCTACGCTACTACGCCTAGAGGTAGCATAACCCGATGCTAAGCAGGTCGTGACTAAACAGCGAGCTCATTTTACCAAGTTCCACCAACACAAGCCTAGACGCGTGGGCGTCATTACATGTCCGCAACGAAGTCATTTCCGCCCTCTAACATAACGGCGCCGCCGGACCCCCTCCTACAGCCTCGCCTCGTTGTCCGACGCGTTCCGGGAAACACGTTTCCTCTTCACGCCACCGTGAACGCGGGCGACGCGGCCCAAACTGCCGAACGTGTGGTTGCACAAACGCAGACTGATCTGACAGAAAAAACGACAACGTGTCCGTTCTAGCCGCCGGGAGGCGAGGTTGAGGTACGGAACGACTGCTGAAACGTCTGCATGTCCCCCCTATATCCGCCTCCCCGTTATCCCTTCTCGCCTCCGCAATTCTCCATCCCGCCTCAACCGCTTCCCCCTCCTACTCCGCATTGCCCATTCCTGCCACGACGTCTCCCCTTCCCGCCGTCTCAATTCACGTTCCCCGCACCCCGTATCCCCTCATGGTTTCCCCTTCCCGCACCCCGTATCCCCTTCCCGCCACCCCAATTCCCCTTTCCGCCACCACTTTTCCCCTCCCCGTCTCCCGATTACCCCTTCCAGCCTCCCCGGTTTTCCTTCCCGCCCCGCAATTCCCCTTTCCGCCTCCCCGTTTCCCCTCCCCGCACCCCGTATCCCCTTCCCGCCACCCCAATTCCACTTTCCGCCACCACTTTTCCCCTCCCCGTCTCCCGATTACCCCTTCCCGCCTCCCCGGTTTTCCTTCCCGCCCAACAATTCCCCTTTCCGCCTCCCCGTTTCCCCTTCCCGTACCCCGTATCCCCTTCCCGCCTCCCAAAATCCCCTCTCCGCCACCCCTTTTCCCCACCTCGTGTCCCCATTACCCCTTATCGCCTCCCCGGTTTCCCTTCCCGCCCCGCAATTCCCCTTTCTGCCTCCCCGTTTCCCATTCCCGCTCACCGTTTCCTCTTCCCCCATTCGCGTTCCCCTCCCCGCTCCCCATTACCCCTCCCCACCTCTCCGTTACCCCTTCCCACCTTCTTCATTCCCCTTCAAGCTCCCCATTACCCCTCCCCGCCTCCCGGTTTCTCCTTCTCGCCGCCTCAATACCGGTTCCAGCCTCCTCGTTTCCCCTAGCCGCCTCCCCGTTTCCCCTTCCCGCTCCCTGTTTCCCCTTCCCGCTCCCCGTTTCCCCTTCCCGCTCCCCGTTTCCCCTTCCCGCTCCCCGTTTCCCCTTCCCGCTCCCCGTTTCCCCTTCCCGCTCCCCGTTTCCCCTTCCCACCTCCCCGTTTCCCCTTCCCGCTCCCCGTTTCCCCTGCCCGCTCCCCGTTTCCCCTTCCCGCTCCCCGTTTCCCCTTCCCGCTCCCCGTTTAGCCTTCCCGCTCCCCGTTTCCCCTTCCCACCTCCCCGTTTCCCCTTCCCGCTCCCCGTTTCCCCTTCCCGCTCCCCGTTTCCCCTTCCCGCTCCCCGTTTCCCCTTCCCGCTCCCCGTTTCCCCTACCCGCTCCCTGTTTCCCCTACCCGCTCCCCGTTTCCCCTTCCCGCTCCCCGTTTCCCCTTCCCACCTCCCCGTTTCCCCTTCCCACCTCCCCGTTTCCCCCTCTTGGCTCCTAATTTCCCTCATTGCCTCCCGTCTATCCCCACCCAACCCACCCATCTCCATTTCCCCTCTGTCCTGATTACCCCTTCCCGGCTCCCCGGTTTCCCTCCCCGCCCCGCATTTCCCCTATCCGCCACCGCGATTCCCATTCCCGCAGCAAGTACCCCCTTCACACATTATAATTTCCCCTTCCCGCAGCCCATTACCCCTTCCCACCTCCCCGTTCCACCTTCCCTCTCCTCGTTTCCCTCTCCCTATCTCCCGCTAAACGCCACCCTATCTCCCCAGCCATCCCTCCTATCTCCATCTCAAGCCTCGCCATTCCGTGTGCTAGCCTCCCCATCTTTCTTTCCCCCGACTCCCTAAAATGACCCCCTTCCCTTCTCCCTCTCCTTTCCCCCCCTTCCCCCAGAAGTTTCCTGCGCTTGCCCCTTTCATTACCCCCGCTTCTCCTTCGCAGTTACGCCCCTCTTCCCTCTCATCTCCCCTCGTGCTGCCTCTCATGTCTCCAGCTTGGCCAACCGTCAGTGATTCGTGGCCAGTTCGGCCAACCGTCCGTGTCCAAGTTGTCCAAGTGAGATTCGCCGCGTGAAGCTGGCGGTTGCTCCAAGGAGTGAGTAAGGATCTTAAAGAGAAGATCGCCAGGTAGACTAAGGATCGTCCGGGACTCCATGTCGGGATCTTGAGATACTAGGGACGCCGGAAATATGTGCTACTAGGTTCAGTATGCACTAGAGAACCCTGTCAAATTATAATGTTGTGTAGGCTATAGTGGGGTAGCCTATATGGGGTACACATTTCTAGGGTTGCATATTTGTATCACTTTCGTTCCTTAGTCAATCATTCTCGTTTCAGTTTTCTCATGGTATCGAGCAGGTTCCCTAGTGGGAACTGTGCCTAGGGCCCAACACATCGATTTATTTTTTTTTCCTGCCCGGAGCGCGCTCAGCCCGAGTCGCGCTCCTCTCTCTCACTGCGTCGCGCCGCCCTAGCGGCCCCGTCGCCCTGACGGCCCCATCGTCCTAGCAGCCCCGTCGCCTAGCCCTACGGCCCCGTCGCCTCGCCCTACGGCCCCGGCGCCGCCCTGTCCCGGCCCCGCCGCCCTTCGCTGCGGCCCCGCCGCCCTTCGCTGCGGCCCCGCCGTCCTTCGCTGCGGCCCCGCCGCCCTTCACTGCGGCCCCGCCGCCCTTCCCTAAGGCCCCGCCGCCCTTCGCTGCGGCCCCGCCACCCTTCGCTGCGGCCCCGCCGTCCTTTGCTGCGGCCCCGCCGCCCTTCGCTGCGGCCCCGCCGCCCTTCGCTGCGGCCCCGCCGCCCTTCGCTGCGGCCCCGCCGCCCTTCTCGCTGCGGCCCCGCCGCCTACCTTGCGGCTCCGCCGCCCTTCGCTGCGGCCCCGCCGCCCCTCTCGCTACGGCCCCGCCGCCCCTCTCGCTGCGGCCTCGCCACCTACCTTGCGGCCCCGCCGCCATTTGCTGCAACCCCGCCGCCCTTCGCTGCGGCCCCGCCGCCCTTCACTGCGGCCCCGCCGCCCTACCGAGCCGCCCGAGCCGCCCGAGCCGTCCGTTCCGCCCGAGCCGCCCAAGCCGCCCGAACCGCCCGAGCCGCCCGAGCCGCCCGAGCCGCCCGAGCCGCCCCAGCCGCCCGAGCCGCCTTAGCCGCAGAGGAGCCGAGCCGCTGGTGCCGCCGAGCCGCAGTTACTGCTGAGCCGCCCGAGTCGCCCGAGCCGCCGTGTTGACGTGCTGCTGTGCTGCCGAGCTGCCCGAACCACCCTGTCTGGTGAGAGCAGCGCTTCTGTCACTGCGCTGCCCCTGTCCTACAGTTAGCACTGCTAGCCTACTGCTGTCATGGCCACCCCCAGTGTTCTCGCTTTTGACGCTGAGGGTTGGGCCATTGACTTTGAGGTCTGGGTAGATGACCTACAGCTTTTCCTACAGTGCGATAGGGCAGACGGTCTCTCCCTCTTTGACCTTACCTCTTGTGCCTCCCCTGCCCCTGCTGCCGATGCCGACGCCACTGTTCGCTCCCAGTGGGCCACTCGCGATGCTGCTGCACGTCTTGCTGTGCGTCGCCACCTGCCTACCACTGAGCGCGCACACTTTAGTCAGTACAAGAGTGCTCAGACCTTGTACGACGCCGTAGTTGCGCGCTACTCTTCCCCTGCCACTGCTGCACTGAGCCGCCTCATGCTGCCGTACCTCTTCCCTGACCTTGCTGCCTTTCCCACAGTCGCTGACCTCATTACGCACCTCCGCACTAGTGACACTCGCTACCGCGCTGCGCTTCCTGCTGAGTTCTGCGCCAAGAACCCCCCCCCCCATGTACATCACTCTCTATTATATAGTCACCCGCCTCCCTGACTCCCTTCGTGTAGTCAGGGACCACTTCCTCTCGGTCTGTCCCACCACTCTCACTGTTGACCTCCTAGAGAAGGCCCTCCTAGCAGCGGAGAAGAGCATAGTCGCTGTAGGAGCCTCTCGTGGTGACCCTCGCACCCCCATCTTTGAGGGGTGTTCCCCTTCCACCCTTTTGCCCTCTGTCGCCTCTGCTGCTGCGGCCAACTTTGTTGGTCTTGAGTCGGTCAGTGCGGCGTCTGCCCCTAGCGGGAGACGCCGCTCTGGCAAGGGCAAAGGGGGCAAGGGCGCAGGTGGAGCTAGCGGGGGTGGCGGAGGTGGTGGTGGAGGCGGCGGAGGGAGTGGGGGTGGCGGTGGGAGTGGTGGCGGGGGTGGAGGTGTCGGTGGCAGCAGTGGGAGCGGAGGCGGCGGAGGCGGTAGCGGTGGGAGCGGAGGCGGCGGTGGTGGCGGAGGTGGAGGAGGCGGTGGTGGAGGAGGTGGAGCTGGTCGGGGTGGCGCTTCGCAGCGGAGCGGCTCCGGTGGTGGTCTGCGCCAGCAGCAGCAGCAGCAGCGTTCTCGGGACATCCCCCCCCCTCAGCAGCTCCGTGAGTGGTACGCTGCGCGTCAGCGTGGTGGGGATTTTGGTCCGTGCACCTACGTCCTTCGCACCGGCGACCGCGCGAGTGAGCAGTGTGGGGGTGCCCACTCCACCCAGCGCTGCTTTGGCCGCCTGACGGACGCTTGGCGTCACCAGTTCCCGGAGGCCGCTGAGATCCCCCGCTGGGAAGAGCTATCTAGGGCAGGTGTAGCTATCTTTGATCTTGACTTTGATGCTATTCTTGCTGCCATGTATGCTGTGACTTATAGTGACGAGGGTGACTGTTACCGGTGTTTCCCGCCCGATCCGGGCATTGAGACTGCTGCTCTAGGTGCTGGTGAGGCTGCTGCTCTAGGTGCTAGTGCGGCTGTTGCTCTAGGTGCTAGCGTGTCTGCGTCCTCAGGTACTGGTGAGTCTGCGCTCTCAGATACCGCGTCGGCTTCGGCCTCCCTCACCTTCACACTTGACTCAGGGGCTTCTCGCTCCTTCTTTCGAGACCGCACCACACTCACGCCGCTTGGTCGGCCGGTTGCAGTCTCCCTGGCAGACCCCTCTGGGGGTCCTGTCCTCTCTCACTTCTCCACTGTCCTCCCGTGTCCGGCTGCCCCCTCTGGCACCTTGTCTGGTCTTTACCTCCCCTCGTTCTCTACGAACTTGGTGAGTGGTGCTGACCTGCAGGATGTGGGGGTTCACCAGTTTACTCCTGCGAGTTAGCGGGTGACCCACTGCTCGGACGCTCACACAGGCCGACACCTGGCCACGTTTACGCGTCGGCCGGGGTCGAGCCTCTACACCCTGACCACTGAGTCTCCTCCTGTCCCTGTGTCTGGTCAGGTAGCTGCGTCGGGTCAGGTGTTTGCTGCAGCGTCCAGGTCTGGTCCTGAGTCTGCCCCCTGCTCGTGTCGCCTCCTGTCTCACGAGACTCTCTTGTGGCACCACCGTCTTGGTCACCCCTCCCTGCCTCATCTCCGAGGCATGGCTTCCCGTGTCCTTGTCTCCGGTCTTCCCCGGTCCCTCCCTCCCCTTCCTTCGGGGCCTGGTCCTTTCTGTGTCCCCTGTGTCGAGGGGCGGCTACGGGCTGCTCCTCACTCCTCTCCGTTTCCCCTGACAGAGGCCCCGCTGCAGACGCTTCACATGGACGTGTGGGGCCCGGCCCGCGTCCGTGGACAGGGTCACGAGCGCTACTTTCTGCTGGTGGTTGACGACTACTCGCGTTACACCACAGTCTTCCCCTTACGCAGCAAGGGCGATGTCACTGAGGTGTTGATCGACTGGATCCGCGCAGCTCGTCTCCAGCTCAGGAGGAGCTTCGGCTCGGACTTTCCTGTTCTGCGTCTGCACTCTGACAGAGGCGGAGAGTTCTCCTCTGGCCTTCTGCGAGCCTACTGGCGTGCGTGAGGCATCCGCCAGACCTTTACGCTTCCGGACTCTCCACAGCAAAATGGGATTGCTGAGCGCCGCATTGGCATGGTCATGGACGTCGCTCGTACGTCCATGATGCATGCGGCTGCCCCCCATTTTCTGTGGCCGTTTGCGGTTCGGTACGCGGCGCATCAGATCAACCTTCACCCCAGGATCTCCAGGCCGGAGACCTCCCCAGCTTTGCTGTGGACGGGGAAGGTAGGCGATGCGTCTACGTTCCGTGTCTGAGGATCTCGGGCGTTTGTCCGCGACTTGTCTGCGGACAAGCTGTCCCCTCGTGCTGCTCCTTGTGTCTTCCTTGGCTTCCCCCCTGACGCGCCAGGGTGGCAGTTCTACCACCCCACCTCTCGTCGTTTTCTGTCCTCTCAGGATGTCACGTTTGACGAGTCGGTCCCCTACTACAGCCTCTTCCCCTACCGCACTCCTTCCCTCCCCCCGCCACCGCTCTTCCTTGTGCCAGGTCCCCCCCCGGTAGACCCCCTCCCCCCTCAGGGTCCTGCCCCTTCAGGTGTGTCCCAGGTAGACGCGGTCGAGCCGGTCGAGGTTACTGGTGACTCTGGTGCTGCTGTGGGTGCTGAGCCTGGGGGTGCTGACTCTGGGGGTGCTGCGCGGGTGGGTACTACGCCTGGGGGTGCTGGGCCTTCGGGTGGTACTACTGGGGGTGCTGAGCTTGGGGGTGCTACGCCTGGGGGTGCTGAGCTTGGGGGTGCTACGCCTGGGGGTGCTGAGCCT